TAGTTGATTTTAACATTATTATATTAAAAATTATCTTCTCCTTTCCTTTCCGGGTATCCAGGGAGAAGCTGAAAAATTTGGATCAGAGACTACTAGTCAGACTCCATGTTTAAACCAAAAACCTAACATGAAGTTTTCAGGCAATGACATGTTATTTCTATGGTCATCATATTGATGCTGAAGTTGGTGGTTTTTGATAAAGTAAGTGAACAGCTGTTTGTTACTGATACAGCATAAGAGGTGTGTGGAACTTAATCACTGAACTGCATCTGTGGTTTAATCAATTGTTGTCAGATATTTATTGAGTGCCTAGCAGGGGTCTGAGCTATCAAACCTCTACTGTGGCATCATTGTATGAATTTCAGAGCTTTGAAATTTGACAGAGCATTCTTAAAGCAGCCTTACCTAAATTCAGCTTTTCAGGCTGTTACCTAGTTAGATAAAATAGAACTTCTGTCAATTTTGATCTACGCTAGGAAAGAACATCTAAATTAAAATCAAACAAAAATGGTAGGCTCATTTCCCATTCATTTTTTCTCCCAATTTAACCAATACTTTGCCCTCTGGAAGGTACATAGCATAGCTCTGTGCTATGGGGCCTGGAGTATCTGTTCTGCATTTCTAGGGACAAATTGGGTCTGAGTACTTTGATTTCTGATTGGGATTTGGTGGAGATAGCAATGGTATATTGAAATTCTGGTGAAAACAGTCATGGAAAATGATAAACATCCTAAAATTGTAATAATGATTTGGAGGAAAGTGGTAGGTATGGGGACTCCCAGAATGGACCAGACTTTTCATGTAGAAACCTTCATATGTTTTAGAGTTTTAGGTCAGTGAAGTGAGATTGATAACTAAGAGCTATTAAGCAAATACTCTGTTCCAAATGCGTTAGGTATTAGTACCTACACACCCACTTCTCCCATTTTCTACCCTTTTAATTTGATTAATTAAGGTGTAGAGAGTTATACTAACTTGTACTACCATAGCTGCCAATTGCTAGAATTATATTTGGCACTTGTGTCTTTATGGATGTAATCCTGTTCTTTCTGTCATCTAATAGTTCATCTACAATATGTAGGATACCATTTTGGTTTTGGAGTTACAGAGGACTAATTCAACTCTTTAGGGTTTAGTGTTTAACTAAGGCATTTAAATATATCAATTTAAACAGCAAATTTATATAAAAGATAGCACATGAAAGGAGTCATGCCAATAAGGGGAAAACAACAGAGAATATTCTTAGCTGGAGCAGTTGTCACATCTCTTTGATTTGGCAGGAAGCAATGATGGTATGTAGCAAGTATCAGGCTGGCCTGAGAGTCTCAAGAATAGGTTGAAACACTTAGAAACAACAACAAAAATACTTATAATTATAGCTGTAAATCAAAACAGGGGCAAAAGATATCATACTAATTATCATTAAGACTAAGGGAAAATGAGCCGTCTTCATCTTCTGTCTTCTGTTTACACATGAGATGCATATCATGCAATTGCCTTTTATCTTTTTGGATGATTAATTTTTTCTTTTTCTTTTGATTTAATCTTTATTGTATTTTTTCCATTCCCATTTAGTCTCCCCATCCTCCACTCCCCCCCAGCAATCACCACACTGTTGTCCATGTCCATGAGTTCTTTCTCCTTTTTGCTCAATCCCTCCACCCCCGAACCTCCCCAGCCCCAGTACCTGTCATCTGCTCTTCATCTGAGTCTATTTTCCTTGTTAGTTCAGTTTGATCATTAGATTCCACATATGAGTGAAATTATATGATATATGTCTCTCTGACAAACTTATTTCATTTAGCATAATGTTCTCCAGGTCTATCCATAATTCTGCAAAGGGTAAAATTTTCTTCGGTCTATGGCCGAGTAGAATTTTATTGTGTAAATGTCCCATAGTTGTTTTACGCACTCATATGTTGATGGACACTTGGGTGGCTTTCATATCTTAGCAATTACAAATAATGTTACAGTGAACATAGGGGTACTTACATTCTTTGAATCAGTGCTTTGGGGTCTTTTAGATATATTCCCGGAAGTGAGAGTTCTGGGTCAAAAGGCAGTTCCATTTTTAATTTTTTGAGGTGTCTCCATACTGCTTTTCACATTGGCTGCACCAGTCTGCATTCCCACAAATAGTGCAAAAGGGTTCCCTTTTCTCCACATCCTGGCCAGCACTTGATTTTTATTGATTTATTGATGGTAACCATTCTGACAGATGTGAGATGGTATCTCATTGTAGTTTTAATTTGCCTTTCTCTGATGACTAGTGATGCTGAGCATCCTTTCATATGTCTATTGACCATGTGTATGTCCTCTTTGGAGATGTGTCTATTCAAGTTCTTTGCCCATTTTTTAATTTGGATTATTTTTGGTGTTGAGTTTTGTAAGTACTTAATGTTTTCAATATTAACCCCTTATCAGATATATTAGCAACTATATTCTCCCATTCTGTGGGTTGTGTGTTTCTTTTTGCTGATGATTTCCTTGCTATGCAAAACCATTATAGTTTGATATAGTCCCATTTGTTAAATTATTTTCTTTTGCTTCCCTTGCCTGGCTCCCTTGCCTATACTGGAGATATATCCAATAAAAATTTTCTATGGACAATGCCCAAAATTTTGCTGCCTGTTTTCTTCTAGGATTTTTATGGTTTCTTGCCTAACATTTAAATTTTTTATCTATTTTGAACTTATTCTTGTGTGTGGTATAAGAAGGTGGTCTAGTTTTATTTTTCTGTTCTTACCTGTCCAATTTTTCCAGCATCATTTATATAATAAACTCTCTTTAGCCCATTGTATGTGCTTGCTTCCTCTGTCAAATATTGCCTATAAAGTTGTAGGTTTATTTCTGTGTTCTCTATTCATTTCCATTGATCTGTGTGTCTGTTTGTATGCCAATACCAGGCTGTTTTGATTACTATGGCCATGTAGTATAGTTTGATACTAAGTAGGATGATTCCTCAAAGTTCATTCTTCTTTCTCAGTATTACTGTTAGTGTAGGGCCATTTGTGATTCTATATAAATTTTTGAAATATTTGTTCCAGTTCTATGAAATATGACATTGGAATCTTGATAGGAATTGTGTTGAAGGTATACATTGATTTGGGTAGTATGGACATTTTAAATATGTTCATTCTTCCTGTCCATGAATGCAGTATGTGCTTCCACTTATTTGTATCTATATCAATTTCTTTCTTCAGTGTCTCATAACTTACCAAGTACAGGTTTTTTTACATACTTGGTTAGGTTTATTCCTAAGCATTTTATTCTTTTTGAAACAATTGTGAATGGGATTGTTTTCTTAATTTCTCTTTCTCTTAGTTCATCATTAGCATATAAAAATGCAGCTGATAACTGGATAATAATTTTGTATCCTGCTACTTTGCTGAATTCATTTATCAGCTTCAATAGTTTCTTGGTGGAATCTTTGGGTTCTCTATGTTCATTATCATGTCATCTGCAAAAGACAGCTTTCCTCTTCCTTTCCAATTGGGATGCATTTTGTTTCTTCTTCTTGTCTGATTGCTGTGGCTAGTACTGTGTTGAATATGAGAGGTGAAAGTGGACATCCCCATCTTGTTCATGATAGTAAGGAGAATGCTTGTAGTTTTTGCCTGTTGATTGTGATGCAGGCAGTGGGTTTGTCATATATAGCTTGTATTTTGTTTATGTATGTTCCCACTATTCCCACAGTGCTGAGAGTTTTGATCCTAAATGGGAATTTGATTTTATCAAATGCTTTTCTGCATCTATTGATATGATCATGTGGTTTTTATACTTTATTTTGTTTATGTGGTGAATCACATTTATGGATTTGGAAATGTTGTACCAAACTTGTATTCCCAGAATAAATCCCACTTGATCATGGTGTATGATCTTTTGATGCATTGCTGTATTCGGTTTGCTAATGTTTTGTTGAGAACTTTAGCACCTATGTTCATCAGAATACTGACTTATAATTTTCTTTCTTTGTAGTGTCTTTATCTGGTTTTGGAATTAGGATAAAATGAGTTTGGAACTCTTCCCTCCTCTTGAATTTTATGAACTAGATTGAGAAGAAGTTTTAGTTTTCAGAATGTTTGGTAAAAATCACCTGTGAAGCCATCTGGTCCAGGGCTTTTGCTTGCTGGGAATTTTTTGATTACTGCTTCAGTTTCATCAGATGCAATCTGTCTATTCAGATTCTCTGCCTTCCTGATTTATTTCTGGAAGATTGTATGTTTCTAGAAATTCTATCCATTTCATCCAGGTTGTCCAGTTTGTTGGCATATAATTGTTCATAATATTTTCCTATAATACTTTTATTTCTTTGGGGTCAGTAGTTATCTCTCCCCTTTCTTTTATGATTTAATTGACTTAGGTCTTTTATCTTTTTTTTCTTAATGAGTCCGGTTAAGAGATTGTCAACCTTGTTTATCTTTTCAAAGAACAAGCTCTTGGATTCATTGATCTTTTGTATTGTTTTTTAGATTCTATTTCATTTATTCCTACGCTGATCTTTTTTATTTCCTTCCTTCTACTCATGTTGGGTTTTGTTTGTTGTTCATTTTCAAGCTCCTTTAAGTGTGAAGTTAGATTGTTTATTTGAGCTTTTACTTGTTTTTTGAGATAAGCTTGTAAATGCCATGAACTTCACTCTTTGGATTGCTTTCCCAGTGTCCCACAGATTTTGGATTGTTGTGCCCTCATTTTCACTTGTTTCAAGGTATCTTTTGATTTCTTCCTTGAGCTCATTTTTAACCCATTCATTATTTAATAATGTGTTATTTAGCGTCCATGTTTTTGTGTGCTTTTCAGTATTCTTGTAGTTGATTTCTAGTTTCATGCATTGTGGTCATAGAGGATGCTTGATATGATTTCTGTATTCTTAAATTTATTGAAATTTGTTTTGTGTCCTAATATGTAGCCTATTTTAGAACACATTCCAGGAGGTTAAAAAGAATAAACTGCAAGTGTTCTCAACACTGCTGGCTGTGCCTTCCTCTGAGGTCCTGGAAATGACAAGGTCAATTTTGGATAACAGTGAAAAGATGAGAATCGGAGATGGACCTTTCCCTTTCCAGGATTTCTTTGAAGATAAATTAGATGAAGAAAGTGTGATTCTCACATTGGTTCCAGTTAATGAGGAACATAATGAAGAGCATCAAATGGAACCAAGCATTTCTTCAACCTCAGGAGCCAACCTGAGGATGCCTAGGACAAACAACGCAGTTTATTTTCCTCAAATGAATGAACAATTCAAAGATTACCCCAAACCAATTTTTCTCTTGCCAACCATTTTGCCTTCAATTAATAAAGTGTGTCATGATACTTTGTGGAACTGGTGCCAACAAATTAATTTGACTACTGAAGGAAGAAAATAGAGATTTATATGAGGCTGAAGGAACATGCTTACTCTGAAGAAAAACAGAATATTACTGAAGCACCACAGGAGGCCACACTGCAGTCCTGTTCAAGGAAATGGAAGATGGTGACCAAGAGAACAAGGAGTAATAAAACTTGTAAGATGAGTAAGAAAGAGAAATGGACCAATACAGTTGAAGTGATAACTTCAGCTCAGGAGGCCATGATGGCAGCATGGTCAAGAATTGCTGCAAGAGCAGTGCAGCCTAAGGCTGTGAATTCATGTCCCATTCCTGTTCCTACTGAGAACTTTCTGCTGCAAACATCTGGTGTCAGGTGGTGTGTGGTCCATGGCAGACCTCTGCTGGCAGACAAAGAGAGGTGGGTTAGTCTGCAGTTCCATGCTTGTCAGGCCTGGGTGCCTGGCACTCCCAAGAAGATGATCTCTCTTCTCCTGTTACTGGCCTGCACTTTCCCATCCTCAGACCTGGAAGACAATATGTTATGCTCAGAATGTGTTAAGAGGAATAAAAGGATGATGGAAAGACTAATCAAAATGAAGAAGAAGAAGAAACCTCGTTTGAACACACCCACATCATTCCTTTTGGATGGATCATGTCTGCAATAAAGAATAAATGGTGGAATGCTCACAGCTAAAAAAAAAAAAAAGAAAGAAAAGAAAAGAAAAAAGAAAAAAAAATTCCATGTGCACTTGAAAAGTATATATATTTTGCTGTTTTGGGGTGAAATGTTCTGAAGATATCAATTAAATCCATTTGATCTAGTGTGTTGTTTAAGGTTCCTGGCTCTTAAAGCAATTGTCTTTTAAACATATAGGTAACATGGTAAACACAGGTAAACCACTAGTGTCTATTTGGAGCAGCCTAAAGTACAATGTAGGTGGAAGCTTTTTAAACCACATTAAAAGGTCATTCAGCATTGGCATCTTATAGAATTTCAGGAGTGAAGGGCAGATAATACCATTGTCACTTTGTCCCTGTATTGAGATCAACAGCGTAATCCTACCATAAGGTTAAAGAGAATGCCTTTGATATTCTGCACAGGAATCAACTATTAATTATACGTATTTTTAAATTTTCAAGTATTTATCACTCAAGAGAGAGAATAGAAAGAGTACTTTAAGAAATGAGGCGAGTAATGAGCTACAGGGTAACCTAAGAAATAAACCACAAAAATTTTTGGAACAATGAATCCATTGGTATGCTGAGATAAATAGTTTCTTTTTAGGTATATTTGAAGATTTTTCAGGAAAGGTAAGTAGTAGCCAAGTGTGAACATCTGGTTAAAATGTTTGGATTTTTTTCATTAGGTGATTGGGAACAATAAAACATTTGCGGTTAAAGGGAAAGTTCCAATAGTATTATAGGAGGTCAAAATTGGCAGAGGCACATTCTGTTAAAGAGAGGAAAGAGAGCTTAAAGGCAGAGTATTAGTCAGCTTTTGTTATACAACAATGAGCCTCAAAACATCAGTGGTTCACAGCAATAAACATTTATAGGTTCTGCTTCATAGCTTGGCGGATCTTCTGAATCACTTTGGATTCAGGTTGCAAACTGTCTAGGCTTGCTATAGACCACATGTTGGGTTTAGGTCTGCCCCACAGTGTCTCATTCTGGGACCAGGGACATTTCTTGAGTCAATGAAGCAAGCACAAGCAGAAACACCTGCTGACTTTCAAAGCCTCAGCGTAAAACTAGTTATTGTCTCTTTCATTCACATTCTATTGGCCAAAGCAAGTCAATGACCAAGTTCAACATCAGTGAGGTGGGAAAATATACTTAGCCTATTCTAGTAATACCACAGCATGAGGTGGTGAAGAGTGTTCCAGTATCATTGTGATTCAGAGATGGAATGAAGAACTGGGGCCAAGGACAAAATATACCACATGGAGACAGACTGGGGACTTAAGTAATCTAGATTTATGAAGACAAGAGCCTTGACTTGTGTGTTAATAGAAAAAAAAATTATAGGAGGAAAAAAATATAAGAGACATTTCTAATGAAGAAGGCAGGGATTACAGACTGATTTTATATCACAAATCCTGGGAAGAGATTAAAAATCAATACTAAGTTCCAAATGTAGGGAGCTGAGTGGTTGACACAGGATATAGAATTTGTAAAATTATAAAATTTGAAAGTTGTGTTGGCTCTAAAAACCAAGTGTGACTAACTCCAAGATTCATAAACTCAACCACCATGGTGTTTATTATCAGTCATACTATTCCCAGAAATAATGCACATTATGATTCAGATATGTGGAAAATTGGTCATCATTGTTCTTAACTGGATCCATTGGTTCAGTCTCTCCATGTACCTAATGGGATCTCTACTTATCACAATCTAAATTCCTAATAATCAAATTCACACATTGTCTTCAGAAATGACTGGGATCACAGAAAATGCAAAGTAACTAGAAGTTATTATAAGATCTTCCTCCATGAAAATTTTAACATGCTCTGTTTTGACCTAATTCTGTGGGTTTCATTTAGAATTAGGCAATTTAACTCATTTATTGGCTATGTAAATTATTCTTTGCTTACAGCTTCCTCATATTATAACTTTGTATCAATTTTCCATGACTTCAAGTTAATTTCTTCATGTGTATAAATGAGAAAAAATAGAGAAGGTGATAGTATGTGGAATAAAAACTTGAAATTTGCCTTGGCTGGTATGCCTCAGTGGATTGAGTTTTGGCCTGCAAACCAAAGGGTCACTGGTTCGATCCCCAGTCAAGGCACATGCCTGGTTTGAGGGCCAGATCTCCAGAACAGAACACTCGAGAGTCAGCTACATATTGATATTTCTCTCCCTTTTTTTCTCCCTCCCTTCCTCTCTCCCTAAAATTAAATAAACCTTAAAAAATAACTTGAAATTAATGAAACTTGAGAATAATTGCTTTTTATTTAAATGCATCTTAGTATATTACAATGATGTATATATAAAATACATTATGGAAAAGTTTTAAAATGTTAAATGGATCTTTAGACACTATAACATTTGATACACTTTTAAAGAAAAATCAAATTGATTTATATGATTGGCTGAATTTTAGTTACATTTAGACATTATTATTGAATTAGTTACATACATTTATGCCAATTCTTTTTTCATTCTTGGGTTATTTTTTAAAAAGTATAGTTGATATACAATATTATATTAGTTTCAGGTGTTTAATATAATGAGATTTCACATTTATATGCCTTACAAAGTGATCACCATAAAAAGTCCACTATCCATCTGTCACCATACAAAGTTATTGTGATAGTATTGAGTGTATCCCCTATGCTGTACTTTAAATCTCCATGGCATATCATCTATAAGTTTGTACCTCTTAATCCCCTTCACCTTTTTGCCCATACTCCCACAGCCCAACCCTCACTTCTTTATCCATTCACCTATTGATGATCACCTAGTTTGCTTCCATTTCTTGGTTATTATAAAGAATGCTGCAGTGAATATAGGGATGCACATCTTTTGAAATTAATGTTTTGTTTTCTTCACGTAAGCACTTAGAAATAGAATTGTTGATTACTTCTTTGTCTCTTGTTACAGACTTTGTTTAAATTCTGTATTGTCTAATATAAGCATGGCTATCCCAGCTTCTTTTTTTGGTTGTTTCCATTTTCATGAAATATTTTTTCCATCCCTTTACTTTCAGCCTGTGTGTGCCTTTCAATATGGAGTCTCATGCAGGCAGCATATGTAAGAGTCTTGTGTTTTTATTCATTCAGTCACTCTATATTTTTTCAGTCGATTACTTAGTCAATTTACATTTAAAGTAATTATTGATAGGTATGTACTTATTGCCATTTTAGTTGTTTCGATACTAGATTTATAATGGTTGTTCTACTATCTTTACTAGTCAGATTTTTTTCTTTCATATATTTTATTTCTAGTTTTGGCCTTTTCTTTTTCACTTAAAGAATTCCCTTTAACATTTATTGTAATGCTAGTTTAGTGGTAATGAACTCTTTTAGCTTTTGCTTGTCTAGGCAAATCTTGATCTCTTCTTTAATTCTGAATGATAACCTTGCTGGGTAGAGTATGCTTGGTTGTAGTTTTTTCCATTTCAGCCTATTGGATAGTTAACATCAGTCCCTTCTGTCCTTCAAAGTAACTGTTGAAAAGTCAGCTGATAGTCTTGTTGGCATTCCCTTGTATGTTGTTTTTCCCTTGCTGCTTTTAAGATTCTCTATCTGTAACTTTTAACAATTTAATTATAATATATCTTGGCATGGGTCTCCTTGGGTTCATTTTGCTTGAGACTCTGGGATTCGTGGAATTGGATGTTTGTTTCCTTCATCAGGTTAGGAAAGTTTTCAGTTATTTTCTAAGATAGGTTTTCTGTCATTTTCTCTCTTTCTTTTCCTTCTGGGACCCCTATGATTAGAATATTGGTATGCTTGATGCCCCAAATGTTCCTTATCCTCATTCTTCTAAATTCCTTTTTTCTTTTTGATTTTCCAATTGGGTAATTTCCATTATCCTGTCTCTTTGATTGCTGATCTATTCTTCTGGTTATCTGATCTGTTGTGGATTCCCTCCATTGTATTTTTCGTTTCAGTTGTTATATTCTCTAGTTCTGATAGGTCCTTTGTTATATATTTTATCTCTTGTTAATATTCTTACTGAGAATATCCACTTGTCTTTAAAGTTTGAAAAATATATGACTGTTACTTTGAACTCTTTAGTAGATAACTTACCTCGGTTTCATTTAGTTCTTTTTTCTGTTTGTTTGGATTATTCTTTTCTCTCCTCTTTTGGCTGTTTGTTTTAAATGTATTATGTAGGTCAGCTACATCTCCTGGTCTTGAAAAAGTGGCCTCATTTAGAAAGTGTCTTGTGGGGCCCAGGGGTAGGATGACCTTTGTCACCAAAGCCAGGTGACCTGGAGGTGCTCCTTGGGTAGATTAGTGTGGCCTGCTGTTGTGGGTGGGCCATGGCTTCTATGGGTACACTGGAAGCAAGGCTGGCCTCTTGCCTGCTGACTGTGAGACATGGCCACAACAATTGCAGACTCACTGGTGTGCAAGGCAAACCTTCATTGTGGCTGGCTGCGAGGCCCAGCCACACTATTGCAGACACACTAGTGTGTGCTGGTGCCGACTGAGGCCACCAACTTGGTACTAGCCTGTGCGGGTCCTCAGAGAAATTCCAGTGTAGGGTGAACAGTGTTAGCAAGACAAATGGAGAATGTTAGAAATGGTGGCTGCCTGTTTCAGACCAGCTAGATTAAAGAAAGGGGGCAAAATGGCTCCCACCAGTACCTCTGACTCAGGAGAAAGTTCCAACATATTCCTGTCCTTCCAGTACACACAGTAGAATTAGTCTATGTATCACCTTCACATATGACCTAGATGCTTTTCACACTGCTGCCTCTGTGCTGGGACTGAGAAAGCATAACCTGGGTTTTCTACAGTTGTTTGGCTCTCTTAGACAAAAGACCCACTAGTTTTCAAAGCCAAATGTCATGGGAGCTCCTAGTCCTGGTGCAGGTCTGCCAGGCTAGGGCTCAGGTCCCTTAGTCTTTGGGATAACCTCTGCAGTTGTGATATATCTTCCATTGTGAGTCACCACATGGGGAGTCCTGGGGTAGTGTGCATCCTGA